GTGGCCTCTTTTTGGGGCAAAAAGCGGCTGTTTTGGGAATTTTTTTGGTGGGTTTTTTTTTTTTTTGCTGCTGCGGTGATGTTTTTCCTTCCCCGACGGTGTCAGAGAAGGGTTAAGGCCACCCCCACCCCACCCCCGGAGGGGCCATTGGGATGTTAATGGAGCTCCTGGTGGGGACAATGGGTGGGAATGTCCCCAACGGCCCATTGACCCCCTGAGGGGTAACGACCTCCCATGAGGGGGTGGGGGGGGAGAAACCACCTCTGGTCCCACCCCACAGCTCTGGAGATGCTGTGGGTCCCCCGATGGTCCCAACCCCACAGCTCTGGAGATGCTGTGGGCCCTGAGATGACGTGTGCTCCATGTCACCGCCACGAGGTCACGGTGGCCATGGTGGACCTCAAAACCCTCCAAGGTTGGTGGGTCACCACGCCTCGGTGGGTCACCATACCACGCCTTGGTGGTCACACACACCCTGGTGGGTCACCAGATCTTGGTGGGTCACCACACCCCACCTTGGTGGTCACAAACACCCTGGTGGGTCATCAGACCTCGGTGGGTCATCACACCCCACCTTGGTGGTCACAAACACCCTGGTGGGTCACCAGACCTTGGTGGGTCGCAACATCTTGGTGGGGACCACCCCAAAGGCTGCGCCCACCTCCTCTCTTCCCACCTCCGCCATTTCTGGTCTCGAGGAATCATCATCCTTTTTTTTGCGGCCGAGGAGAAGAGCCGAGCGGGGTCTGGATACCCAAGAGCCGTGACGTCACACGGGCATGGAGCGGGTGACAAAATATGCCATAATTGTGACAAAATATGCCAAAAATGTGTCAAAATATGCCCAAATGGTGACAAAACCCACCAAAATGCCCATTTTTTGTTAGTTTAAATGGGCAGAGGACACCTTTCTGGACGTTGAGGTAAGAAGGGAGCGGTGGAGAAATTGAGCCCCAGGGGCTGCTGGGATGGGGGACCGAAATTTATGACTTTTTGGGCGAAGAAGGCGGCGAGCAGGAAGAGTTGGGAGGAAGTGGGCGAAAGCTGTGGGGCCTCAGGAGGTGGGAGGGGTGGGAGAGAAGAAGTGGAGGGGGGAAAAAAAAATAGTTTAAAGACTTCGGGGGGGGGAAAAGAAAGCGTTGGGTGATCTGAGACCTGGAGTGGTCCACGCTGAGGGTTGGGGTCGATAGTGCCCCAACTGCAGCCGTTAAACCCCGATGTTCCTCCAGGAGGAGCTTCTGGAGAGGTTCTCCTCCGCTCGGATCTTCTCCGCAGCCGCGAAAAAGAATGAGTCCTCGAGATCAGAAGCGACGGAAGTGGGAAGAGAGGAGGTGGGTGCAGCCGATGGAGTGGTCACCATCAAGGTGGGGTGACCTACCAAGGTGTGGTGGGGTGATCATCAAGGTGGGGTGACCCACCAGGGTGTTTGTGACCCACTGAGGTGTGGAGGTTGTCTTGTAGTTTGCAGGTAACATGGTGACCCACCAAGGTGTGGTGTTGTGACCCACCAGGGTGGGGTGTGGTGACCCACTGAGGTGCGGTGACCCACCAGGGTGTTTGTGACCCACTGAGGTGTGGTTCTTGTCTTCTAGTTTGTAGGTAACATGGTGACCCACCAAGCTGTGGTGTGGAGACCACTGAGGTGTTTGTGACTCACCAAAGTGTTGTGTGGTGACCCACTGACGTGTGGTGACCCACTGACGTGTGGTGACCCACTGACGTGTGGTCTTGTCTTATAACTTGCAGGTAACATGGTGTCCCACCAAGGTGTGGTGACCACCAAGCTGGTGTGACCCCACCAGCCTTGGAGGGCTCTGAGGTCCACCGTGGCCACTGTGACCTCATTGTTGGTGACCCGGACCACACACCAGAGCCACGGGCAGGACGGGGACTGGTTCCTGTGGGGTTCCCCTCCCTCCCCAAGGGGGTGAAGGACTCAGGTCAGGGCGAGGTGGGGCCGATCTCCCCTTGGAGACCCACCAGATGTCCAAGGAGGGGCGGGAAGGTGCTTTTCCCCACCGGGAGACGCTACCGAGATGGTTTTTTGGAGCCTGGTGGGGGTGGCCGAGGCCACCGGAGCCCCTTTCCTGCCCCAAACCCTCCTCCTGCGCTGGGGGAGAAGATCCTTTTTTAGGACAAGTTCTTTCCTCCAACAAACCTGAGCTGAAGCTGCTGCCCCCCAACCCCACCCCACCGGAGAAACCCTGCAGGAGGAACAAATAAGGTGGAAAAAAACTTAAAAAAAAAAAATAAATCTCAATTTTCATTGACCGCGTGAACACGAGAACCCACGAAGAACTTGGGGGGGGGACACGACAAAAAATGATTTTTTTTTGGGGTTTTTAATATTTTTTTTTTTTTTGCTTCCCATAAAAAAAAAAAAAAGGGCAGAAATAATCCCACCAGGAGGATCTTTAAGGGCTTTTTTTGTCCTTAATTGGAGGTGGGGATGGGGTGGGGGGTGGGGAGACTTTCCCCGGGGCTGAATGGTGGCGTTGGGGGTGTACCTGATGGGCCATCGGGAGAAGAAAAGGGTCGTTGACACCTGGTGGGGTGGGGGGAGGGATGAGGAGGTGGGTTGATCTATTCCCCACCCCCTCAGGGAGGAGGAGGAGGACTTTTTCCATCAAGACCTGTGAAAAACGGTGTCTTCAGCTCAAAATCCCTCTTTTTGGGGGTTTATTTTTTGACCCATCTCCTCTGGGGGTTGGTTCTTCGAGGTGGGCGATTCCTCCTCCCCCACTCTGGGTCATCTCGCGTGTGTTCCCCCCCCCACCCTGTCCACCACCCCGTCCACCCTGATGAGGAAGGTCTTGCTTCATCCCCTCCCTTCACCCGAACCACTTCTCCATCTTCCCGCTGCCTTTGACCTTCAAGAACGGCCATGTTGGCCGCTGCCGGTTCCCCAGGGACCAACATCTCCAGGATGGGCTCCCCACCAGTTCCCCACCTGTGGGTGATGATGATGATGATGAGGGATGTGGGGTGGGTTCTCCTTTCCACCCAGGAGATGTGGCCACCGGTGGCCTGCAGCCTCCATCTCCCATGCTTTTAGCCCGGAGACGTGTCCCCATCGGGACGTGTTCTCCACCGAAGGAAGGTCTCCAGCCCCGTGATGGAGAGGAGAAGGCCTCAGACCACCCCAGAAAAGGATGGGATGGAGTTGGGCTTGATTTTTTGGCCTTGGGGGGGCCTTCTCCTGGCTGTGGGGAAACTTCTGGCCATGGGGAGCCTTCTACTGGCCATGGGGAACCTCCTGGCCGTGCGGGGCCTTCTTGTGGCCCTGGCAAACCTTGTGGCCATGGGGAACCTTCTGGCTGTGGGGGTCCTTCTCCAGGCCGTGGGAAGTCTTCTCCTGGCTATGGGGAACCTTCTGGCCATGGTGGGGCCTTCTCCCGGCCATGGGAAGTCTTCTCCTGGCCATGGGGACCCTCCCGGCCACGGGAAACCTTCTCCTGTGACCTGGACCACGGGCCACCAGTCCAAACCAGTTTATTTGGTTAAATTAATTTATTTAGGGGGAAAAAAAAAAACCCACCCTCAACCGGTGGAGTTTTGAAAGAGAAACGACGCAGAGATTGACCGATGGATCAATTTTTAAATTTAATTTTGGGGCGAATAAGGGGAAAAACTTCCCAAGAGGGGAAGAGGGATTTATTGAGGAGAGGAACGTGGGATGACGGAAGTCGGCGTTCGTTATTTTAATACATAATTGTTATTTCTTTCATTAGTCCCTTAGTCTTTTAATTATCATATAATTATATTTTAACATCATTTTACATTTTATCGTGATTTTACATTATACATTGTTGCGATCTTTATATTTTGCATTTTGTTGTGATTCTCTATTTTACATTTTGTCGCGATTTTCTATTTCATCGGGATTTGACGTTTTAACATCATTTTATATTTTATCACGGCTTCATATATTTTTCTCGAGATTTTACGTTTTACACTTTAACGCCACTTCATATTTTATTGGGATTTTAGATTTTAAATTTTATGCTGATTTTACATTTCAACATAATTTTACATTTGGGATCTTACATTTTACTTTTTCTCGTGAATTGATATTTCGTATTTTCTTGTCATTTTTATGTTTTATGCTGATTTTACATCTTATCGGGATTTTACATCTTATCGTAAATTTATATTTTACGCTTTATTGTGCATTTACATTTTATATTTTACCACGATTTGATGTTTTACTGTGATTTTATACTTCCTCGTGATTTTATACTTCATATGTTCTTTTTTATAGTTTTATATTTCTTATGTTTTATAGTTTTTATATATTTTAAATTTCACGTGATTTTTTTTCTTCATCTTTCTGCAGCTGCAATAACTTTCCGCCGCCCGAAGGAATACCTATAAATAGACAGAATTTTTTTTACTTCGTTTTCTCCACTTTTGGAAGTCCGCGGAGCTGTTTTGTCCCTAAATTCGAGTAAAAAAAAAACCCAAAATGGGCCCTTTGAACCGGGGCCGGTGGGAACCGGCAGCTCCGGGAGGGGGAGAAATCTCCACATTTGTGGGGGATTTTCTTGTTTTTTCATGAAAAAAAATAAAAACAGGGTGGGAACCGGCGGGAGGGGGGGTTAAAAATGAGGGGAAAACCGGCAAAAATCCCAAATAACCCTTTAACTCCTGAACGGAACGGAAAACTCCCCCCCGGCCCTAAATTTAAGGTTTTTTTTCAACAAAATTTGAGAAATGTAAATTTTTTTTTTTTTG